GAATGGAACCTGCGACCCTTCAGACCATGGCCGACGCTCTATCCACTGAGCCAAACTGGTTTCGGCTAAAGCTGCTTAATAATAATCACAGATTACTATAGTGTGATGTATTCTCTCTCTAGTTACACATTTAAAATTTAAAACATCCAAAAAAAATAACATTTTTACAAACGTGCATTATACCAGTTCAAATGTTATATGTAGAAGCCATATACATTTTTTCAGATTTTTACTTAGAAATTTTAGTGTAATACTTGTAAGATAATATTTATTTTAGAAGTAGAGGGCAAGAGGGAGAGAGAGACACTGATGATCAGCTACTTCCTGCATGCCCCCTACTGGGGATAAAGCCCACCATCTAGGCATGTGCTATGACCAGGAAATCAAAACCAGCAACCTCGTGGTACAACTGAGCCCACACAAGCCATGGCCTCAGTAAAATCCTCAAAGTTTTTCAACACTCTGGCATCAGTTACAGACACAAATATTCACAAAGCAATATCTCAGCTATTGTAAGGAAACTTGATTTACTAATCAATGCTAGTCATTATCTCAAAAATATGAATGTCTTGAGAAGTTAAAAAATTTTGGGGAGAAGGGTAGATCCTAGGACTAAATCACAAAATATAGTGGTATTTTTGTTTGCAATGACCAATTTTAGCTATAACTCTAAATCAGTTTAGCCAGAATCCCACCTTCACTATCATCATTGTCAATGACAGGGAGGTTATTATCCATTCTATCCCCTCAGCCCATACCCATCCCCCAGCAATATATACTAATTAGAGAAAAATGCAAATTGACCATACATTCATGCCACACACCAATCAGGAGTGAGTACACAAATTAACTCAACAAAGATGGTGGATTAGGCTCTGAGAGGCTGGGGGGAGGGGGAAACACCATATTTTCCGGCGTATTAAGACGACCCTCTAATTTTACAGTTAAAACATAGGTTTAGGCCTATATTAGCTGTATAAGCCTACCCTACACTTCAAAGAGAAGACTTACTTTCCGTCAAGATCTGCAGGTAATTTTTGTGCAATTTTGGTCTTTTGCCCCCGATTTTCGGTTGACTTTTTCCCCCCCGTTTCAAAAGTCGTCTTATACGCCAGAAAATACGTATATCATCATGTTGACAATAAATGTGCGCCACACTGCTCCAGTTGATCTTGGCTTCTGGGCAGCATGGGAAGGCAGAAAAGGCAGTTCTGGCTGAAGCTAAGGCAGTGCTGGCTGCCAGGGAAAGGAAAGCTCATTCTTGAACAAATCTTCATGCATTGGGCCTCTAGTTCTATATAATAGAGAGAATAAGCAAATTGACCATCAAACTGTCACAAAGATGGTGCCGCCCAGATTCCTTAGCCCCACCAGAGTCCCCCAGTCCTTTCAACCCCGCTGAGGGAGGTTGGAAAGCTTGGGGAGCAGGTGTGGTTACATGTTGTGCAGTTACATGCATAAGCATGCAGTTATGCAGCTGGACACACCCTCAGTTCCCCAGCTGCTCAGGGCCAGCCCAAGGTGCAGGCAAGCCTTGGATGTTGGCTGCCCAGCCAATGCCCAAGATGCAAGCAAGCCTCAATGTTGCCTGTCCAGGCACCTAGAACCAGCCATGGCTCAGACAGTGGCAGCAGCAGAGGTATGATGGGGGCTTCACCTTTACTTGATTGCTGGGTTGTCTCCCACCTCAAGGCTCCCAGACTTTGAGAAGATGGCTGAAGAACACCCTCCCCCACTTTCAGCATTTAATGTAGTTCTACACAGCAATCAAAACACTAACAGCTCAACCACGATGGCTATAAATCAGGAGGTCACCATTCAATTCCAGGTTATGGCACATGCCCAAGTTGTAGGTTTGATCCTAGTGTAGGGTGTGCAGGAGGCAGCCAATTTATGATTCTCTCCTCAATGATGTTTCTAGGGGAGAGAGGACATGTATGGGAGTGGGGTAATGATAAAATATATACACATGTAATACCTTAATTAAAAAAAATGGGGAAAAAATGTTTCTATCTCTCCCTCCTCCCCCCAAAAATTAAATTTGAATTTAAAAAAAAGACTAACAAACTACAGACAACATATTATCTGATATAATGCTGAAAGAACCTATATAATTTATAATTTACTTTATACAAAGCATAACAACAAATGACAACCAACTACACTGTTAGACATCAGAATAGTACCTACTCTTTACAGTGATGGCAAGTTAGGTGCACAAAAGGGACACAAAAGAACACTAAAGGTGATTCCCTTAAATATTTTTACTTTTTCATATATATTAACCTGATTTGGCTCTTATAACATCTATTAATTCATATAGTTGCCTACATCACTCTGATAATAATATTACTAACCAACGAAAGAAATCAAAATTTCATACCTATACCATCTCTGGCATAAATGACCTGCTCTAATTACTTCTTGATCCTTTTACAGATTAATACAATGCATATTATAAGTCATAGAAATCCAGGTCTAAGAATTTTCTGTGCCTTATAATAAAAACTCTGCTTCACATATCTCAAACTTAAAGGCAGAAGAGTACTTCTTGCTCCACAAATAGCTCTGCTGGATAACCAATAAATGTCCACTAACAAAACATTTAAAATTCCTCAGGTTTAGAGTGTAGTAACTTTTCTACCTCTCTTATTAAATCACAACCAATGGCAAACAGATAGTGTTAAACTTTTTATTTTAGTAAAATCAGAATAAACACAGCACATGCAGTGCTAACATCTAAACTAATACAATAAACCAACTACAAAACCTACAGTGACTTCAGGTCCAATGACTACACTCAGCAAGTTTGAACCAATCCTTATTTACTGGTTGATTAAAAAGGAATGTAAATGTCACAGATTATGGAATTACAAAGGTAACCACATGTTTGAGGACTGCAAATACGCCAGACAGTAAGTGAAAACCAAACCAAAAAAACTCCACCCACATTAACTAAACAAAACTCAAAACCTTTGAGAATGTGGACACTTCCTACCAGTATATAAAAGTGTATCATCAATATTTAAAGACAAGTGTATCAAAAGCTTAGCAAATTTTAAATTGCCAGTTTTGCTTTAAATTTTGTCAGAAGGTCACAGCCAATGCTGGGTCTGCTTAATTTGAACTCAAGTTTAACAGGATTCAACATTAAAAGTTCACACTACCCCAAAATATATTATTTCACATACGGTGACATTTAAGTGCCAGTGTTTTTGTACTGTCTTTTGGTCAAGTTTCTTTAAACTTTCAAAGAATAACTTTGAGGCTTACAAAAATAAATATCTGTCAAAATGTTCAATAAATATTACACAAACTAGCAGCAAAAAGTATCTAAATTCTGTCATGTGCAAATAGTTTCTTCATAACTATCATTCCATGGTCCCCCCAAAAATTCTAAAATCTAGTTTGTAGCTGCATTCAACAATCTCCAAGAGATAAAATGAGATTGGAAATTAAGGACACATACAACAAAACACACACACACACACACACACACGTGTGTATATATGTGTATATATATAAAATTTCTGAATGTGCAATAAAATAAGTGCTTTGTAAAAAGTTATGGGCAAAGTATACAAGAGTCTAAATCTATACCAATTGAAATAGCACCATAACAAATGACCTTAATACTGTCAACTGCACCTACTTAATGTTTTAGAACAAGGCACAATACTCCCGGAAAAATCTATTGCACTTTTTAAGAAAATTTTGTCTTCTTATGCAACCGTAAAAATTAGTTTGTAAAGATCATAAAATCAGCACAGAATTCCATATGGCAGAGGCATTTTTAGTGATGGACAATAATCTTTGGCCAAATTTAGCAAAGAGAATATAAGTACAATGGAAACCTATGCAACTAAAAGACGACTAAAGTGCACTATATAGAAACAACACCGGGTACAGTTTAGTACATTTTTCCAACCTGTGGGATCTCAAGGATTTGTTTGTTAAAATTTACAAAGTCTACAAGTGTAAGCCATTTTAACCTTTCAATACAGCTTAAACATAGTAACATAAATCTGCATTAAAATAAAGCCTGCTGTATAATTTTCCCTGCTTATATATTCTTGACCAAAAAACAACACTAGCATGAAGTTCAGACCAAAATCCAACCAAGTCCATAGAGAGGACAAGGCAATGCTAATGGTCAGCCATTCTACCATTTCCATTTTATTTATGGCAGGCATTATAATAATGACTAATTTCCCCCAAAAAACTTTTTAAATGAAATATTAAACTTTTCCTATAACAGTATGCCCACACTTCCCTAACTTACAATTAATAACAAACATTAAAAGAGGAATTGCTGTATTTACTTGCATTTGTTTTGAAGAGTGCTTTGAAAATGCATGGATATATCCATAACTATTATTCATCATGACTGGAATGACATTTACATACTACAAATGTTCTAAGTGCTTACCCACGATAGAGTAAATCAATCAGAACTTAAAATATAGTTCGCGTAGGCACATTAGAACCTAATTTTACTTATGATGTTCTTCTCCCAGTCTGCAAGTAAATATCCAAAAAGTCCTAAAAAGCTACTGCCTAAATTATTTTTAATCTTATGATACTTATTGATAAATTGGTAATTCCTGTTAAGTTTATCACAGTTTTATGCAAAGGTTTGTTGTTAGCCCAAGTTCAATAATTTATTGTCAAAACAATTGATATCTTGAGCATTACTCAGCCAAACAGGACATCAAAATAACAAGTTGTCTAAAGTTTACAGTATATTAACAAGCAAATGATTCTCAGTCACAAAATTATAAATGCAGCTTGGGATGGAAAATAAGCAGGATGGAAGTAACTTCTGAATGGGGCAGTTACTGTTCCTTTCTTCTTGTGACTTTGATCTTCCATAGATTTTCAGGAGAATCACAGTTGGTAATGTACTGAAAGTTCTTAAAGTTACACGATATAGTCTGGCTAAGTTACATGTGGTTTCCATATTAACTTGTTTGAAAGGGTGATGTGACTGTAGAGCAGTTTTAATTGCCCCACCAGTCAACCCCCTGGGAGTTATAATTCCCTCCATATCCGTCACTACTGTAGAAGCCTCCATAGCCACCTATCAAAAAATGTTGAGAGAGAGATTAGGTTAGCCACTGTAATTATCTCCCCTGTTTAAATCAAGTACTTTAAAGCTCAAAGAAAAAAACTATAATACTAAAATGTTCTGTTTTTGGAAATAAAATTTCTTCAATATCACATTGAAAAAGAGTAAGGTGAATCCTTGCCATTGGGTCTCAGGGGATAGAGCGTAAACCTTAACAACAAAGGGTCATGGATTTGATACCCAGTCAGAGATATACCTGAGTTACAGAATTATTCAGTGCCTCCAGTCAGGAAGCAACAGGTCGATGTTCTCTTACATTAATGTTTCCCTTTTCCTGGACCCCTCGCATCCCTTCCTCCCACTACCTCTGAAAAGTAATGAGGTGAGGTTGGGAAGGGGAGAAGAAGGGAAAAATCCTTGGATAAAACAAAGAGTAAGGGGGCAAAAGACAAAAGCTCTTTTCAAAGTTATAAAAGAGAAAAATTCTATTACCTCCACCAAATCCTCTGCTGCTGCTGTGACCTCCACCACCACTGCGGCTGCTGCTTGCACGGCCACTACTAAAGCTAGAACTGCTGGAACCGCTACTTTGTCGGTAGTCTCTGGCTCCAAATCCCCCACTGAATCTACTATAAAGAAAACATTTGTGTGATGGTTTATGAGAATGAAAATTCCCACATGTAACTCCTCTATACCCCAATTTCTGTTTTTTCAACTCATTTGCCATTGTGGTCAATTCCTCTAATGTTTCCAGTGTCAACAAGTAGTTAAGGATAATGGCTCAAAACAATTTGTACCTCTTAGAACGTCCACGACTGCTACTCTTATAGTGATGATCATAAGCCATATTTTCTAACCAAGACGGCACTTCTTGTTTAGCTTCAACAAGAAGATCCAACAAGTCCTTTGTAATATTCATATTTCTTTCATTAAAAAAAGAGGTGGCAAGACCTATAAGAGTGCAAAAAAATAAGGCAACAAAAAACATGTAATGTGGGTTTCCATTAAGTAGCTTTGTATTCTTAAACTTGTCAAACACTACTTAAAACATAAATATAACAATTTGCAATTAAACCCTTAGAAATTAAAACAAAAACTTTTAGTGTCTGACAAGTGACGTTAAGGGGGTCCAAGATGCCCTTTGAAAATTAAGTGTACTAGTATTTAAGATTTTGTGTCAGATCATCAACTAAAAACACTTTACCGAGGTTTCCTACACGTCCCGTACGGCCAATCCGATGAACATATTCTTCAATATCACTTGGCAAATCAAAATTGATAACATGTTTCACATTGGAAATATCTAATCCTCTTGCAGCCACCTAAAAAATAAACTTTGTTTAAAAAAAAAGAAAAAAGCAATACTAAAACATGCTTAAGAAAATAAAAATGTACATACAGCTGTAGCCACTAGTATTGGGCTTTTTCCTGAACGAAACTGGTGAAGAGCTTCCTCTCTATCTCTCTGTGATCGGTCTCCATGGATACTGGTACAAGCATATCCTTCATGGTATAAGAAATCCTCCAGAGAATCAGCACCCTTTTTGGTCTCCACAAACACTAAGGTCAGTGAGTCTTTCCCTGAAATATTGTAAAAAAGATTTTAATTGCAACTTAGTACCAAGTATTGATTAGATCTAAGTATTATTCAACCTTAAACAAGCCTGTACATTGAAATTAATTAAAATAAGTTTTATGCCAAAACCGGTTTAGCTCAATGGATAGAGCGTCGGCTTGGGGACTGAAGGGTCCCGGGTTCAATTCCGGTCAAGGGCATGTACCTTGGTTGCGCGCTTATCCCCAGTAGGGGGTGTGCAAGAGGCAACTGATCGATGACTCTCTCTCATCGATGTTTCTAACTATCTCTCTCCCTTCCTCTCTGTACAAAATCAATAAAATATATTTTAAAAAATAAAAAAATAAAATAAGTTTTATTTCAGGATTTAGAAAAAGGTGGACAAAAGGCTGGTTAGGAACTAGGTCCAAAAACACTGAACTTACACTATTATTTACTAGAGGCACAATGCAAGAAATTTGTAAATGATAGTTCCCTACAACTAGCTGGAGATCAGGAGCAATCTGTGGGGTGACTGGCAGCATGATGGAGAGGGGCCCCCCAGTTCCCACACGCCTTGGCTGGCCATCTGCTCACCAGCCACACCCCCTGCTGCCACCAATCAGGACATGAGGGCTGAGCACTGCTCCTGCATTGAACATCTTCCCCCTTGTGATCAGTCGTGTCATAGCAACCAGTTGGTCTGCTGTTCAATTTGCATATTAAGGTTTTATACAGATAGATGATTTTACCTGTTGCATTTAACAGATCAAGCAGAAATGACCGTTTGTCTAACTCTTCCACCCAAACTACTTTTTGTGTGATGTTCTCAGAGGTAGAGCCAACTCTGCCTACAGCCAGAAAGATGTATTCATCCAAAAAATCACGAGCAAGCATCTGAAAAAGGGAAGAAACATGAACATTATCTTCTTCTAATTATCTGAAAAAAATGTATTACTTGTAAGCAAAAATGTTCTTGAAAGAAATACCTGTATTTCCTTAGGAAAAGTAGCACTAAACATCATGGTGTGGCGAACACCCTTTGGTGGCATAGTATCTTGTTCAACTATACGACGTATCTGAGGTTCAAACCCCATATCTAGCATCCTATCAGCTTCATCCAACACTAAGTATCTGTCATAAAAGACTCAGTTTAGAATCTTGTGAAAAAATGACCATTGAGTATAGTTGTGACTTGTTATGTTAATATAATCATTCTAACATTCTAGCCTCACATTTCAACACATGTGAGACACAAAAACCAACACACCAAACTAGCTATTATTTTTTCCCAATGAACTATATAAGTTAGTTATAATTTTCAATAAACGTAAACGGTTCTTACCTTCTCCCACAATCTCATCAAGATTATAACTAATCTACAAAAACCACCATCCTACAGAACTTCCTAAAATCTAATTTAATGGAGTTGTACTACTTGGGAATTTAAAATGCTACACTAAAACTGGCAGGAGAAGCAGAAACCAAGAGGGGCTAGTCCCACAGCCACTTGTGGCAAATAAGAATCAGGAGGGATAGTTCTGCTCTAGAGGAGTCCCCACTGAGAAGAAGGGGTCCTAGTCCAACTCTAGGGCATCTAATCCTAGAAATTTCTAAAACTTCTGGCTGTGAAAATTAGGAGGGAGTGCGGCTAAGATGGAGGGCTGCTGGATTCCCAGAAAGTTTCTCAAGGGTATGTACAAGGACTTACTCAGATTCATTGGATCTGAGCTTCAGCACAGGGCAGCAGCCTGAAAGGCAGCAGACATCCACAGGGAGGAATTGAATTGTGGGACATCAGAGTGAACGCTTCAGGTGACATAAGGCACTTGATAATCACTCCACCCAAAGCCCACAATTCCATCAACCTGGCTAACATGTTCTTTGACTTCCTCTGGTGGTTTACTGAAGCCTGCCCCACCTCGACTCAACAATTAATTTCTAGGGGCTATTCTATAGAAAATGCTTGTGTTGGCTCATGATTCAGATTTTCCTACAATGTCTCAAACAGAATTTGGTCTCTGTATGCCCCATACCTTTTACTAATTGACCTCAGGTTAGGCACTTAACAGTCAGTCAGTCTTGGTTTAAGCTTAATCTCACCCACCTGGACACCTCCTCACCCAGCACAAGTAATAGCCATCTGCAAATCACTTTATATCTCATGCCAGATGGCTCTATGCTACACTTCCTGGAAGGCCTAAAAGCCTGTGCAACCAGTGAACAACTTCACACCACATAATCATCTCCAATGACACACACATTCAAGGGATAAATTCAGCAGACACCAGAGCCTGCTGAAATAATCCTGTTCTTTGGGGTCAGCCTCTGCATAACTATCTTCTATGGTGGTTGGAGATAGGTGATTTCTGCCAGTCCTTGCAGCTAACTGATCTAAGGATAAATATCTCACAATGTGCCAACAGCAATAATGGCTCAACCACAAGAAGAACATGTACACAGCGTACATGGGGAGGAGGGCCACCTCAAATGCCCAGAGAGGTTGATCTGGGAGGCTGTGCCACTGCACCTTACAGTGTACCTGTTAGGCCATGGTACCAAGCCAGATGTCATATCTCTACCTAATAGAAACACAAGGAAGACTTACCAGACCTAATTGAAACACAAGGGAGACTGCTTAGAGAAAACAAAGATGTCCAAATTGAAAGAACAGAACAATAAAGATAAGCAACCTGCTAGATTTAGAGCTAAAACACTGGCTCAATGAATTTAGTGAGAACCTTAATAGCATAAAAAAAGAACCAGTCACAGTAATGAGGATACACTAAGTGAAATGAAGAATATTTTATAGGGAATCAGTACATGAGTAGAGGAATCTGAGAAATCCAATGAGTGATTTGGAATAAAAGCAAAAAAAAAAAAACAAAAAAACAAAAAAAACAACCACAAAACACCCAACCAAAACAGCAATAACACAACTTTTAGAATGCAGATAGCCTCTGGGTTACTTTAAGTGTACTAACATTTGTATCATGGGAGTGCTTGAAGCAGAAGAAAAAGTAATGATGGGAAATCTTCCCTAACTTAGTGAAGGGTACAGACATACATGTCCAGTAAGCATGGAGTCCAAAACAAGAGGAAGAAACCCAAACCAATATACATCATAATTAAAATGCAGAATGTTAAAAATAGTGAATCTGCAAAACAGAAAATAAAAGCAGTTAATTGCTAGGGAGCTCCCTTACAATTGCCAACTGATTTCTTAACAGAAATTTTGAAGACCAGAAGAATAAAAAAATATTCAAAGTAATAAAAACCTAAGGACCTACAACCAGGATTACTCAACAAAGCTATCACTTAGATTCAAAGAACATATAGCTTCCAAAGAAGAAAAATTCATCACTATCAAATCAGTATTATTAATACATGAAATTTTAAAGAATCTTATTTAAAAAGATAAAAACATCAACAAAATGGCAATAAGTTTATCAACAATTGAATCTAAAAAAAACAAAAAAGCAATTTTAATTTTCAATATATAAAAAGTTCATTAAAATTACCTTTCCATCTTAAAACTGTTGGTAAATGCTATAAAATTAATGACCACTAATATTTTTAAATGTATATCCCATATATAAAAATAAACATACTTGCAGAAGTCTAATCCAATCTTTCCTCTTTCCATCATATCCACTAAACGTCCTGGAGTGGCAACTAATAAGTGACATCCGCGTTCTAAGTCTCGAATTTGCTGACCAATATCAGCACCACCGTAAACCACACAAGGACGAACTCTAGACCGGTATGAAAACTATAAGCAAAAAATTAATGAGGTGATCATGAGACATTAGAATAAATAAAAATGTCTATTATCAATAAAATGTATATTTACTTTTCTGGCTTCCTCATAGATTTGTACAGCCAATTCTCTTGTTGGGGCTAACACCAAGGAGATTGGATATTGTTTACGGCGTCCATACCTTCCAGTTTCCTAAGAAATAAGTACAATTTTATAAATTAGAATCAAAGACCTAAAACTTTTACTCTTTTTAAAAGTCCTAAAAAATATTTCTTTTAAGAACCACATCAAAACAAAATTTAAAAATTCCATGTTTTCAATGAAGAAATAAAATAAAAAATAAATGTATTGAAATGTAAAAAAGCTTATTTGGTATAGTTCACAGAAAGTATAAAATGTTTTTAAAGAAAAATTTGTTTTATACAAAAACCTTTACCCTCACAGCCTTCAAAGCTTCGCCTGGACCATCTGTATAAATTTGACTCAAGATAGGCAAAAGAAATGCTGCAGTTTTTCCAGACCCTGTTAAAAAATATTGGCATATTTAATTTTGAATATTAATAAAGTACTTCAAATGTTCTTTTAATAAAAGATTATTTATTTACTCTAATGCATATTTTCTGGAAAATATGGTAATATTTACACAGTTGAGCACATAATGCCAAGTGACCTCTGTGATCCTTTATTTTGTGATCTATTTACTTAAAAAAGATTTTTTTTTATTGATTTTTAGAGAGGGATTATAGAGGGAGAGGGAAAAAAAACTTCAATGAGAGAAACATTGATTGCTATCTTCTGCACATTCCTTATCAGAGATGGAGCCCACAACCTGGGCATATGCCCCGATGGAAATGGAACTAGGGACCCTCAAGGTGTTCTGATTGCACTGAATGATACCCAACTGAGCCTCACTGTTCAAGGCATGTCCTTCCTTTTAAACAATTTCCTAAGAAATTCATTTCTTTGAATTTTAATTAGTACAAAGAAACCATTTGCCTATAAATTCCTATTCTAATACAGCTGTGAACTCCCATTCTAATATTCTGTTGTTGTTATATATTCTTGAAATGTAAAGCAACAATCACTCAACTTTCTGAAGAATCTAAATTGAGCTCTGTGTCTCGCTTTGTAAAATAAAGCTATAGGTATAGCTGTTTCAATGAAATATTATTTTAAAAAACAGGTTTTGGGTTTGGTCCTAGGCCTTAGCTATTAAAAAAAAAAAAAAAAAAAAAAAAGGTTCTGTATTTTAAAGAATGAAATATATTAGCCATGACAGATGATTTAAGTTTTACAGATTGAACTGCCCAAGCCCTTCCATTCCCTAAATACTAGAAGATGGATGGCACCTTTTCCTCACCCATATTTTTATGGCTCATAGGATCTTCCAAGATTTTATATTTCCTATTACAATTATATTTCCCTCCACTGCATTCACAATTTTCACCATTATAACATCATGAAGGATGACAATTTTATACTGATTTCCCCATTATAGCCTAGTTTTAGATACAAGAAAAAAAAAACAACTCCATTTAATCTTTACCTAAGTAAAAATAATGTTCAAAAAGGACTCAGAATAGAATAAATTCTTTTTCATACAGAATTATTTTTAGAGGAAACTGAGTTAAATTAACTTTTATTCTTCCTCAAGTGAGCTTACCTGTTTGGGCACAAGCCATCAAATCTCTTTTTTCTTTGATAATAGGAATGGCATATTTTTGCACTGGAGTAGGACGAGTATAACGAGTAAGTTCAATGTTCCCCATGATAATTTCTCCCATTTCAATATCGCTGAACTGTCAAAGAAATTTAAACAAGTCAACTAGATACATATACAACTAGAAATGCCTTATCTGTTGAAATTTGTTTTATACTAACATAAATACAAAAATAATCAACTAAATATTGAGTTGTGATTGAATTTACAGTTGCTTTGATTTTAGGCAAAGGTAGCATAGTATTTATAAAGAAAACACAAGGGAGACTGCTGATGTACAATAAGATAGTTTTGAATTCTTACTATGTTTGGAAATTTTTCTACTCCAGGATTACTCATAATGGTGGCATTAATTTCAGTCTCTCTTTTTTCATACCCCAATGAAATTTTTGATAACTTTAGAAAATTGTAAGAAAAATACAACTTAGAGAGCTTGGACGTCCTCCAAGATGGCTGCGCCCAGGTGAATACCTAGCTGCAGCCTCACACAACAATTTCAATAAAATACAACTAAAATATAAAATGGACATCACCCAGAACTACAGGAAAGTTGACTGACTGGAAATTCTACAACGAGAAGCAAGGAGAAAACCAGAAGGAAGCGCAGAGGAGCTGGAAAAACCGAAGGTACGGAGACACGCGGAGCGCGGAGAGGACGGAGCTGGAGAGGAGGGAGGCGGAGTGCCTGGCGGGCGTTCCCTAGCGGGAAGGAGATAAACTCCGACTGTGCTGGGCCCCCGACTGCTCTGAACCCCAGGCCTAGGCCAGACCCCGGGGACTCAGGCTCAGCCAGAGGGAGCTGGGCTGCGAGGCGGAACCCGGGGAAGCTGCGAAAGGAGGTCCTGGCGGTGGCGCCCAGTGCGCGCAGAGAAGGGACGGCCGGCTGTGCGGCAGGATTGCCTGGCGGGAAGGAGACAGGGGTTCCAGTCTGCTCTGAACGCCACCTCCAACTCCACTTCCAACTGAACTGAACCCCAATACCGGGCTCATTGGGGGAGAGCACTGACTGTTTGGCAGCAGGCGAAAATCGAGGGCGCCTTTCTCTCAGAGGCGCTTACAACAAGTACTGAAGGACCTTGAGTCTCAGGAGTCGCATAGGGCAGGGCTGACGGAAGCCAAAGCTGTAGGCTCCTCCCTGAAACCCCGCCCCATCAGGAAAGCTGCCTGCGAAAATGCCTAAACCAAATAGATCACAAACGAAAGAAATGGAGGACAAAAAGCGACTGGATATAGAGTTCAAATCTACGCTTATAAGGTTTTTCAAGAATTTCCTAGAAAAGATGGATAAGACCTATGAGGACATGAAAAGAAATCAACTAGAATTAATAAGGAGTCATCAAGAAATAAGGGAACAACAAGAAATAAAGAATACATTGTCTGAAATAAAAAATATTTTACAGAGTCCTAAAAACAGAAGGGAAGATCGCAAGAATCAAGTCAAAGATTGGAACATAAAGAGCCAGAAGACACTCCTCCACAGAAGCTAGAAGGCAAGAGAATCCAGAAAATTGAAGATAATGTAAGAAACCTCTGGGACAACTTCAAGCGAACCAACATCAGAATTATGGGGGTCCCGGAAGATGAGAGCAAGATATCGAAAACATACTGAAAGTGACAGAAAACTTCCCCCACCTGGGGAAAGAATTAGACTTATAAGTCCAGGAAGCGCACAGAACTCCAAACAAAAGGAATCCAAAGAGGACCACACCAAGACAAATCATAATTAAAATTCCAAGAGCAAAAGACAAAGAGAGAATATTAAAAGAAGCAAGAGCAAAGAAGGTAGTTACCTATAAAGGAGCACCTATACGATTGTCAGCTGACTTCTCAACAGAAACCATGCAGGCCAGACGGGAATGGCAAGAAATATTCAAGGTGATGAATAGTAAGAACCTACAGCCAAAGATAATCTATCCAGCAAAGCTATCACTCAGAATCGAAGGTCAGATAAAGAGCTTCACTAATAAAAAAAAGCTAAAGGAGTTCATCAACACCAAACCAGACTTATATGAGTTGCTGAAGGGAGTTCTTTCAGAAGAGAAAGTAAACAAAGATAAAAATTATGAACAAATACGTAACTATCAACAAGTGAATCTAAAAACCAAGGAAATTAAAAAAAAAAATCTGATGAACAATAGTAACTGTTGAATATAATAGAATCAGAGGTATGGAAGGGGAGTGAACTGACGATTCTTGGGGAAAAGGGGAGAGGGGGTGTGGGAAGAGACTGAACATAAACTGTGCACCTATGGATGAGGACAATGGGGAGTGGGGAAAGGGCAGAGGGTGGGGTGGGAATCTGGTGGAGGAGAGCAATGGTGGGAGGGAAGGAACAGTTGTAATAATATGAACAATAAAAACTTATTTAAAAAAAAATAAAAATAAAATAAATAAATAAATAAATAAATAAATAAAAGAAAAATACAACTTACACTTTCAATATGTGGAGGACAGTTATTGCCAGTTGCCTCTACTGGAATATCATCATATTTCTCAAAATTAATCCCAGTGTTTCCTCCAGAAAACAGTTCCCTAAAATTAAATGATGACATGTTACAATAAATACTAAGTTTCATAACAATTAACATACATTTCAAAAACTTACTGTTCCAAACGTTCACTTGGTGGAAGTTGTTTTGACCAATCATCATCATCTGATCTGTCACCCCATCGACTGTGTCCACTGCGATCAAATTTGCCAAAACCAGTCCTATCACCACGACTGCCAATTCCATCATAGTCACTACGTCCACGATCATCAAACCTGAAAAGCACAAGCAACGGATCAGAATATATCATTTATCCAAAATCATATTACTAGCTTTCACGCAGGTACTCCTATATGAGTTGAATTGTTTTTCACAAGTTCCTTTGAAAGATGTCAACAATTCAATTTTAATTCTCACTGGTGAAATGAGACTATCTGCTTAATCAGTGTTTATAATATAACATATTTTTAATCCTTTAAAAATATATATACTTAATAGCTATTTACAAAATTACTCAGCTGTTTAAAACAAATCTAACATGCTGAATTTTATAATACTTATTAGAGGCTCAGTGGAGGGGGTGTCCCTCAGCTGGGCCTGCCCCCTCTCACAGTCCAGGAGCCCTCAGGGGAAGGAGGCAATCCAGCAATCAAGGGAAGGTGATGCCCCCATCATACCATTACTGCTGCCATTGTGGGCAGCACAAGCTTCAGCCAGCCTTGGTTACCTGAGCCTTGGGCAGCCTGGGCAGCTGGGAGGCTGAGGACTGTGAGCCTGACCCCCCTCCCCACTTCGGGGCTGAGGGACTGGGCATCATCGGCTTTGTGACGGTGTGATGGCCAATTTGCATATTACCTTTTTATTAGATAGGATAACATATACTTTACCTATCTAATAAAAGAGATACATGCAAATTGACCTATCTCCACGATGCCCACCAGCCTAATCAGGAGTAAATATGCAAATTAACCCAACCAAGATGGCAGTTGATTTGCATATACAGACACAGAGCAAAGATGGAGCCTGAAGATAGCGTAGAAAGAAACCAAGTGCTCCAGCAGGAAGCGAAGCTGTGGAGCAGAAGCAGGGCGAGGGGAAAGGAAGGAAAGCAGGAAGGGCAAGAGGCCTCTGTTTTATAATAATCTAAATATATTTAACAGGAAAACAAGATGAATGTCAATTATCCTGATTACATTTTGCATATACAGGAAAAGCCACTTATGTGGTAAGACTTAAGGTTTTTAGTTTTACTTGTGAAAAACTAATACAAGACTGATCACAGATACTAAATTCTTAAGTTCCATTTTTCATTGTGGTGCAGACAGAACTGTCTAACTACCACAGAGAAGTTATCTACACTAATAAAAGAGAAACATGAAAATTACTATCACTCTGCTACACCGAAAGGTCAATCAGAGTGAGTATGCAAATTAAGCTAAAAACATGGCAGCAGCCCCATCGAAGTCAGGCGCCAATGCCTGAGGCTGAGGCTGGCTGCAACAATGGAGACCAACAAGCCACCTGCCCCATGATTCTAGGCCACAGCAAGCAGCAGAAGCCTCATGTCCATCTACCCCACATCTTGGTGGAGACTTAGAAACCTGGCTTCAGTGCCTGAGGCTAAGGGCAGTCTGGAAGACAAAGAAGCTGCCTGCCCCATGATCCCAGGTTGCAGCCAGCTTCAGAAGCCTCATGTCCACCCTATGTCTGCCTGCCCTATGTCCACCCACCAGACGTCTGAGGGAGACTGAGAAATTTGGCCCTAGTACATGAGGCTGGATGCAACTTGGGAGACAAAAGAAACTGCCTGCCCTGTGATTCCAGTCCACAGACAGCCTCAGATGCCCAATGTCCACCTGCCCCACATCTGAGAAACCGGGCCCCAGCACTTGAGGCTGGATGCAACCTGGGAGACAAAGAAGCAGTCTGCCCCGTGATCCCAGGCTGCAGCCAGCTGGAGAAGCTGCCCACTCACGTCCTGGAGGAGACAAGAAACCGGATGCCACTACCTGAGTCTGGCTGTAGGCTAGGAGATGAAGAAACCATGTGCCCTGTGATTCCAGGCCACAGCCAGTTGAAGAAATCTCCCTCACTCATCTGAGGGAAGATGGAGAAGCCACCCATCTGAGGTTCAGGTGCCAGCAGCTGCAATTGGCTACAGCCTGGTAGACAGAGAAGCCACCAACCCCACAGTCCTGGGCACCAGCACCTGCAACTGGCTATGACCTGGGAGACGGAAGAAGGTGCCCACCCTGGGGTCTCAGCGCTAGCACTTGCAGCTGCAGCACAGGGAAGCCACCTGGCTACCATCCCCTGAGGCTGCAGCCAGCCTGGCACCTATGGCTGACCAGAGAGAAGGAAGCCCATCTCCCGGGTGCCTTTGGTCAGTTGGGAGTCCTGGGTTCCAGGTGCAGGGCTGAAGCAAAGGTGGTTAGGGGCAATCAAGCCAGCAGGGAAGCAGTTAGAGACAATCAGACTGCAGGTAGAAGCAGTTAGAGACAATCAAGCAGGCAAGCGGTTAGGAGCCAGCAGAGGAATGTCTGACAGTTATCCTACGAGGGGTTCCAGATTGGAGAGAGTGCAGGTCATGCTGAGGGACACCCTCTCCACCTCCCCATGCACAAATTTCGTGCACCGGACCTCTAGTAACTAAATAAAAGTAATGGATCCACTATGTCAAATAGTGTGATCTTACTGTGTATAATTTATGTGTATCCGAAATAAAAAACCCGGTCAAGACTGCTTAAAATCTGTAACAGAAAAGTCTATTAAGGGAAAAACATCGGCATTAAAGACGAAGAAAAATACTGGTACAAAGAATGAAAATATATCAGTTGATTCCTAAGCTGCTACTGTATACATAGTGGCATGCTAAGAGTTTACCTTCCTCTTGATCCACTTCCACGATCACTGTAGTAACTGGACTTTCCTCTTGAATCTCGAGACCCAAAACTGCTATATGCGTCCTTATCTTTACTACAACTCCACCCTGAACTGTCTTTATCATGGAATCCTTCCAAAAAAAGCAAAAATTAAAAGTTGACAATACTTTCATGAAGATTCCTATTTCTTCAACTAATTGGTTTTTCACAGCGACACAAAATGTCAAAGAGATTATTTTTATCAAAACATTGGAAAAAGATTTAAATAATTGGTTTGAATCAAATATATATATATTTTTTTACTATATTTAGTCCTTTTCCTCTACAAATTGTACTAAGCAAAGTAACCTCAAGATCTAAAAACAATGTGCTGCATGATAAATACCATCCTAAGAGATAAACAAAAATAATGCAACAGCATAACTGGTATGGCCCAATGGTTGACCCTCAACCTATGAACCGAAAGGTCATGGTTCGATTCCAGTCAAGCAAATATCCAGCATGCGAGCTCGGTCTCCAGGGTGGGGCATGCAGGAGACAGTCAGTCAATGATTCTCCCCCATTATTAATGTTTCTATCTCTCTCTCCCTTCCTCTCTGAAATCAATAAAAATATACTTAAACACATACACACACAAAATGAAATAGAGCATACTCCTTTGCTCTCTGAAATCAATCAAAGTATATAAAAATAAAAACAAAAAATACAACTGAGTATTTAAAATGACTACTTGCCTGAGCTGATTTAGCTCAGTGGATAAAGTGTCAGCCTGTAGACTTAAGGGTCCCAGGTTCATATGAGGGTAGCAGAGAACATGCAAGAGGCAGCCTGTCAATGATTCTCATCTTTGGTGTTTCTCTCTCTCTTCCTCTCCCTTCCTTTCTGAAATCAGTAAAAATATACATAATAAAATAAAACAAAATAAAATAAAATGACAAATACAGGTATAAAACAAGGAAACATTTAGAGCACATAGATTTTCCCATAAGAATATTAATTTTTAAAAATTCATTACCTACTTAAATCATTAAAAATAACCTTTGTGTCCTGGCTGATTTGGCTTAATGGATGGAGCATCAGCCTGCAGACTGAGGGGTCCCAGGTTCGATTCCAGCCGGAGGCACATGCCTGGGCTGTGGGCTTGATCTCCAATGGAGTGCATGCAAAAGTTAGCCAATCAGTGATTCTCTCATCATTGATGTTTCTATCCCTCTCACCCTCCCTCTTCCTTCCTCTCTGAAATCAATGAAAATATATTTTAAAAAATAAGTAACCTTATTTAAAAAAAATAAATAAGATTGCTTAATCTATTATAAAGATGTCTCCAAGTTTTAAAGTTAGTTTCATACTGAGGTATTGCCTAGTTTCTGTTTCAGTATTACCAAAATAACAAAAGAACCCTTATTGTGTTTCACATTCATGTACATTGTTTTTCAAATTCTAGGTATCTAATAATACTGGGCTATTTGTACTGTATAAGCTTAGAGAGAGTCAGGTATAATGATATAAGAGGAAACCTCCACTCTTGCATTATTTCTCTATGGACATGTCTTCAGAAGACACTGATAGATAAAAGAAAGAGGACAAAGGGTTCGTTCATTCAATAATTAAGTTTATATTGAAACATTTTTATTTATTTTTTAAATATATTTTATTGATTTTTTTACAGAGAGGAAGAAAGAGGGATAGAGAGTCAGAAACATTGATGAGAATCATCCATCAGCTGCCTTCTGCACACCTCCCACCGGGGATGTGCCCGCAACCAAGGTTCATGCCCTTGATCAGAATTGAACCTGGAACCTTTCAGTCCCCAGGCGGACACTCTATCCACTGAGCCAAATTGATTTCGGCTATGCTCAAACATTTTATTAAATGTTTTGCCACTAACAAATTAATGAAGTTACTTCCCCTCTGCTTTATGGTTCCACTAGTAGCCAGCCAGTTAACCAATAGCTTTTAGATTGTTAGCTTTAAAAAATATATATTTTTATTAATTTAAGAGAGGATGGAGAGGTTGAGAGAGACAAACATTAATAATGAGAGAGACCTATTGCCATCTCCTGCATGTGCTTTACTGGGGATTGAGCTTAGAGCCTGGCATGTGCCCTTCTCAGGAATCTATCAAGTGATCTCTTAATTCATAGATCAACTCTCAATCACCGAGTTACACTGGCCAGGCAAGATGGTTATTTTTTAGATTTCTTTCATTTCTTAATTTCCTACGATACTGCCAAGTCCCTCTGTAACACTTATATTTTGGATGCAATCCAGCCTGATACAATGGAAATACTCATGATAAAAGAAAACTCTGCAGTTACTTTGATAAAGAATATTCTAGACCTAGCAAGTTTGGCTCAGTGGATAAAGAGGTTGACATGTGGACTCTGGAGTCCCTGGTTCAGTTCCAGTCAAAGGCATGTACTTTGGTTGTGGTACATAACAAAGTAAAATCACATCAATATTTATCAATATAGAAAAAGCACATAGCAAAATTATACTAATAATAAGAATAACCTATTATGCAATGTTAGATCAACTTTTCAAAGTTAAGAAACAAAAAGCACAAGAGAAAAAGTATGTGTACATTCCACAATGTTACCTTGAAGTTGCCATAATGACTTACCTTTAGATGCTTCTCTATTCCTTAAGTGAGGAGGTATATAGCGCCCTTCTAAAGAGAAATGTAAAATTCAGTCTATCATACTCTCTAAAATACAGCATTTAATAAAAATGTCTATTTAAAAAATACTAGAAAAACAATTTAAAAAATGCTTTTCTTTGTATACTTTACAATAGGAGAAAAAATATAAAAATAGGTTATGTTTAATAACCAACAGATGTAATCTGGAGGGGGTCTATGGGGGGAATGGGGGTATAATACTTTCAACAGTAAAGATTAAATACACATTAAAAAATGAGTTATCTGCCCTAACTGATTTGGCTCAGTGGATAGAGCATTGGCCTGCGGACTGAGGGGTCCCAGGTTCATGGTTGTGGGCACATGCCCAGTGTGGGGTGTGCAGGAGGCAGCCCAGTGATGTTTCTCTCTCCTTGATGTTTCTCTAGCTCTCAATCCCTCTCCCTTCCTCTCTGTAAAAATTAATAAAATATATATATTTTAAAAATGGGTTAACCTGCCGAAGCCGGTTTGGCTCAGTGGTAGAGCGTTGGTCTTCGGACTGAAAGGTCCCGGGTTCGATTCCGGTCAAGGACACGTACATTGGTTGCGGGCACATCCCCAGTAGGGGGTGTGCAAGAGGCAGCTGGTCGATGTTTCTCTCTCATCGACGTTTCTGGCTCTCTATCTCTCTCCCTTTCTCTCTGTAAAATATCAATAAAATATATTAAAAAAAAAATGGGTTAACCTTAGTTAAAAAATTTTTTTTAAATAAATGTTTTGGTTTTTTAATTGATTCCAGAAAGGAAGGAGAGAAACAGAAATATCAATGATGAGAAAGAATCATTGATTGGCTGCCTCCTGCAAACTCTCTTATTGGGGGGAACTAATCAATAATCCCCGCATGTGGTCTTGACCAGAATCAACCCAGGTTAACACTCTATCCATTGAGCCAAATCAGCTAGGGCCTTACTTTAAGTTTTTATCCTAACCCAAATGTGTGAAGAGAAACAAATTTAGAGCATGATTTTAAAAAAAGATATTCAAATCAAGTACATTTCAGCAGTTACTACTAGTTATTCGACAAAGGCTCTGCTATTTCAGGAGACTGTTAAAAGAATTATAATATTTAATAAATATTACTGTAACTATTTTCAATTACCCCCCCAAAAAGTATTTCTTTTTTGGTAAAAATACCATACAACAAAAATACATGATAGCTGGAAATAAAGTGAGTTCAACAAGGAATTGAGCCCTAGCCTGTTTGGCCCAGGTTCTATTCCAGTCAAGGGAATGTGCCCAGGTTGCAGGAGCAGCTAATCTATGATTCTCTCTCATCACTGATGTTTCTCTCTCTCCTCTTCTCTGAATTCAATAAAAATATATTTTAAAAAACAAGAAACTGTGTTATTGTGATTAAGAAATAAAAGACTTAACCTACACAGTACAAGTCAACAATTAGCTAAAAATCATTATTTTAATGAAGTCTTTTTGTATTAAGTATAATTAAGTCCTTGCAATAAACATTTAATAGCAAATAATATGCAATGAGTTAACCAAATTTAAAGAGGGTTTTCACAATAGCCACTGCCTTCTTGTAAACGTTGGCATAAACTGAGGTCTTGCTGCTAAATAATAAACCATCAAGTTCCTTTCCCTAGCCAACACTAAATTATTAAATCTAAAAAATAAGTGAATAAGTAAATCTATAATAATGAAAGGGTAATATGCTGACATTGTGTCATTCCAGATGTCAGGATGAAACCATAGCACAAGTAGGAGCAAAGCACACGTTCTGGATGGCTGCTGGCTGCCAGAGAAGGGAAATCTGGGTCCCAGAAGGAAGCCAGTGTCAGCATTATTGCCAGCGGAGGGGGGGAAGTAGGAAAGATCTACTCTTGTATTAATTTTTGTGTATTGGCTTCTAGTATTAATAAAACATCTCCCTCTTTTCATAATATCTTCATTTCAAAAGATTTTAACTTGGCTGACTAACTACTACCCAAGAATCAGAACAGCCTGCTTATATCATTTATGTGTCCAGTTCTTTATGGGAAATGAACAGCAGTAGCTATAAATGTACAAGTATTCTTTACTAAGTAGAACACATTTCAGGTCAACTCACCAGAGAAATGGATACATCCTAATCCCTTCCATGCTTGGCCAATTTATACTGGAGATAGTTTTCTAAAAATGTGAATATTACCTTAATATTTTTTCAAGATGATTAACTGTTACCTCTCAAAAAGAACCAACCAGTTTCTTTTATTACCCAGAATACTTCCAATATTTATAGGTAAAAATAGAAGAAAATTCTTAAACTTAAAATTAGGAAGTTAAACTGATATATTAACATTAAGCACTAATAAAGATTCTAGACAACAAAAAATTTTACTTACTGCTTGCTGTACTTCCCCCTTTACTCTGATTATCAGAAGTGTTCAGGTCTAGACCAGCAAACTAGAAAAAGAGAAATGTTAACAGTTCATATGCTGATACACAATGTGTGTTGGGGAATGGGGGGAGGATGTCTAGTATAGATAGTCTTACAAAACAAGTCCTAAAATCCAATTCTACCCAAGTAGCATTTACTAGCTAGCTGCCCTATCTTTCTGGCTTTAAGAATGCATTTTAAAGTCTATCTTCTATAATAATCTGTAATAATAAAAGGATATAATAATTAGACCCAACATCATTCTGGGTGTCCTTCCTGACGAAGACTGGACCAGAGAGAAGCCAGCCCGGTCCTGTGTTGCCTAAGGATGATGCAAGGGAAGCCAGCTCAGCTCCAGGTGCCTTGCAGGTCTCAGGTGCTGGAGGGAATCCCAGGTTGACAGCGGGAAGCCGGGGGTGCCTGCAGCCAGGGGAAAGCCTACTCTTGCATGAATTTTGGTGCACTGTGCCTCTAGTACTGTATAATAATTGCAAAATATATCCATCACAAATTTTCCTGTAACAATTGCGCATAGTAAAAGTTCTGCAATAACCAAACTGAAAGTATACCTGAAAAACATTAGGGCACCCGAAACCAGTTTGGCTCAGTAGTAGAGTGTCCGTCTGCGGACTGAAAGGTCCCACGTTCGATTCTGGTCAAGGGCATGTACATTGGTTGCGGGCACATCCCCGGTAGGGGTGTGCAAGAGGCAGCTGGTCGATGTTTCTCCCTCATTGACATTTCTAGCTCTCTATCTCTCTCCCTTCTCTGCAAAATATCAATAAAATGTATTTTTTTAAAAAAATCATTAGGACAGTTTGAAGATTTAATTTTTAACTCACTGAAGATTGTGCAACTGTTTTTAATTTTGAGAAATTCCTAAGTAGCCACACCACCATCCATCATATAGTGAATACTTTGCCATTTTATTTCTTGCTGCATCACTGTATGCTTGCCACATTATGAAGACATTACTTATTTTTTCAATTTTGGAGATGAGACGAGTACAGACAGCTTGCTGGTCACAAAGCTACTACTAAATGACACAACCTACATTCCAAACTTTCAAAAGAGATCTTTAATCTCTATTCTTACCTGTCCCTTCATACTGATAGATTTCATATCTAGGAAAAAGATGATCTTTGTTCTATTGCATTATGTAATTTGGAACCAATAGTCATTTATAGAAGTATAATATCATACATGCAAAAATAAGTTTTAAAAAGCATAAAACACCAAAATAAAAAGCAAGCTTACCTCCTGTCTGCAAAGGAATAAACACTGCATTAACAAGTTCAAGATACTTTCAAATTACATGAACCATGAATCAAGGTATTTATCAAACTTTTTCAGATTAAATTAGCATCCTACTATATTCAAATGACAGAGAGCGCAATTTTACAAGTGGATTCTAGCTTCACAGAAAACGTCACAAATGCAGTCTCTATAATGATATCAGATTTTCGATTTCTACACTTTTTAAATATTTTAAGTCTGAACACATAGCCCGCTTTAACTTGGTGGGAAAATATCCTAAAAAAAGCCAACCTTCAAGTTCCACAAATAAGTTACACATTAAAATGTATAGTCAATTCATGCCATTAAATTTAATTTTACAATTCAGAAGTTTGTCTAACATTTTTGTAAACGGTTTATATTCTAAGTCAGCAATTTTCAACTGGTGTGCCTTAAGAATTTTAAAAACCTAGTATTCAACCAGGGGCACTGACTTCTTTTCCCTTAGATAGAAACACACACACAAAATGAAAAAACAAAAAACACCTACACACATCTCTTTGGTATTTTTTGGCAGAATTTTTGGTGATTAGTTCGTTTTTCACGAGATGAAATACTGAAAATGCTATCCTATATCGTTCCATCTACTAAATGTTTAAGATAGAAGCCACGACTAGGTAACTAGGTTAACTTATCGTGTTTAAAGGACTCTCTGGAAGCAATACCGAAATGTCCTGCTTTGGAAAACAATCCTCTAATATATATTTTCAGATCACATATCACAATTCCCACTCCCAATACTTCAAGAGGACAAGCTATGGCTTTATCCTACTTCAACTTTTTTCTCAAGCACGACAAAGTTAGGAACAAAAGCTTCATGTCCTCATAATCCTTTAAGGTTTTTTCCTTCTAATCAATTCCAGAGTCAAATGCCTAACACATACAATTTACCGTAATCCCACCACCACCACCCAAACGCAGATCCCCGACTAAAACAGCCATTCAATTAGTCTGAAAACGCTAAAAGAAAGAAAAAAGGCAGTTTCCACTCTGAAACACCCAGAGTAATGCCAGACAGGGTCCAACTTTCGTTATCTGTAGTTACTGGTAAAAAGCGGCACTCGGCGGCCATTTTACCCACCGCCCCCTATGCCTTTCCGCTTTTCTGCGTCACAAAACTTTTCACTCCGGAAAACAGCCTCATTAGCCGCAGCATTCAGTGGCAATAGCCCATAGGAGGAAGCAAGATAGCTAGTAGTTCGTCTTTTAGTTTATTGCCAATCGGAGTCTCACAGACGCGGATTTCTGTTAGTGTACGGCCGCCATTATGCTAATTCCCCTCACCGCCGAAATTTGCCGTCCACCTACATATGAACGACGTCTTAAGAGCCTAAGTCAGCCGGCCATGAGCGCTAGCCGCAATACAAAAATAAAAATTTTAAATGCAGCTTTGAGTAACCTATATCGTATCACTAGTCCGTTGATACCGCGGGAGCATATAAAAGCCGCCAATTCCGCGGCCGCGTTACAGCTAGGCCCAAGAAACAGTTACAAACATTAAACGCTACCGCTTCGTCTCTTCTCCACGCATTAACTTTAATAAACCTTTCTTTCCCCATTCGCCCACCATTACTACCCACCACAAGCCACGAGGAATCTGATTAAGATAAAAGGCGGTGGTTAGTTATCACTACGCAAGAAACAAGAAAAGGGGTTCCACGAATACTGTCTATATGAGACATTTAGGCTTACCTGCTGGTCTAACTCGAGCGCGTTTTCCGCCACATTCCTCATGCCTGAAGAGAGGCGAGGATCCGGAGTATCCGACGGCTGATCCAGTTCGTCGGTTTATCTACAGCTCCCTGAAGTACAAAACTTGGCCAAAGCCACAGTATTCTGACAAGAGCTGTACGTCACCTCTGCCCAGACCACCACCAACTACTTTATTTCTGTCGTTGCTTCCAACTCGCGTTCTTTCGCTCAAAACCTCGCGAGATTCTTCTAGTCTCGTTCCAAAAGCTCTAAAACCTCGCGATAGTTTGTTAAAAGGGGAGAAACTTATAGGGTTTAAATATCTTCTACCACCTCCTTTTTTAACCCTCCCACTTTCCCTTCTTCCTGTAACGCAGTCCCTGGAATCGAAAATGTCTCAAAATCTCTCTGTTGTTCTAACTAGCCCTCACCCGAATTTGGGAAGTTTTAACCAATATTTTGGCAAATATTTTTCCAAAGTCGGAACTAGTCCCAAATACACTTCAACCGAGTAGATAGATACCTTTACACAGCGATCAATGATGATTGTGTAGTATTTTTCTGTCTGGAGAGGTGGCAGATGAGGCAGTGGAAGCAGGCACTTTGCGAAGGTTGAACGGAAAGCGGAGGTGGAAACCGCAGGTCGTCCGGGCGGCCGAAGCAGCCCGGCATTAACAGCTTAGGCTGCCGGGGCTTGGCCAGGAACCCCTGGCCTCTCCGGTTTCCTAGCCGGGACTGGGCATTTATTGCTCAGACGGCCGTTACGTCACGTGGTGAGCCAACAATGAAATAAAGCGAATGACGCTAGTAACTCATCTCCTAGGAGACCTCCTCTCCCCACCTTGCCTCCCCCGCCCCCTCAGCCTCTTTACTCCCTACCCCGCCCCCTCTCCTCCGTCTCCCCGCCCCCTGCATTCAGGTTATACAATAGGGTTTTCGATTCTTCCAGCGCTCCAGGACCTGAGGCCTCTGAGTACTGCACTAGCCACAGGGCCCTAGGAATAGTGAACGATCCTAACATTTTTATCATGCTGAAATTAAATTCATAGACAATATAAATGACTGATGCACAATTTCTCTCCCAAATGACCTTCTTGTAATAAAAATAAATAATTATGGTAAAATAGTGAGTATGTAAATGTTCTGCATTATCATGCTAATAATAGTCTCACATTTGTCCCATTTGGCAATAGAAATAAAATCTGCTCATACTTCCTGTATACAGTGTTACCTATTGCTGGTATTATTTACAAAAAGGTGAAAACAGTAAGTTTACCTTAAATTATACAGTACTTGCAAAAAGCCTTAGGGGGGAAAATCCCAGTATGTTTAAATCCCAGACTGGTAAAAACATTTTGTTTATATTGTTCAACAAAATTCAACTAAATTAATTTATAAAAATGGTATAATTCAACTATTGATAAATCCCATCAAGCAAAAAAGGAGCTCAGGAGCTATACAAAATGAAAGGACTTCATAGGTAGAAGGAATAGAGTTAATTGTTTCAGTCAAGGTTACCCACTTTAGGGGACACAAAAGAAGTCCATCCAATGTATTACCACACTTAGCAATGACCAGGAAATTCCAGACTGCTAGATTAGTATCAAGTCTTGTTTTGTTAATGTGGGTTTAAGCAGAGTTCTGAAAAAAATAGGATTTTCACCCCTATGAATGATTCTTTGCAAAGAACTGTCCACTGCATTACAGGACATCTAAAGTGCTTGGTCCATTACCTACTAAAATACTAGTAGCATTTGCCAATCCTGGTGAAACCAAAACTGCTTACACATATTGCAAAATGAATTCTTTGGTAGGTCTGATCATATCATTGAATCCATACTCCAACCCTGGGAACTGACCTATAGATCATTTCACAATTAACATTTTTTTTTTATTTTTTTTTTTTGCTTAGACCACATTCATTCGCTAAAATCAGTAACTTTCATTCCAGATTTTCCCAGGATCCCAACCCTTCCAGAGAATTTCTCACCAAAAAAAGACCACCTAGAGTAAGTTAACCAGACATCTCACTTTTGGCGGGATAGTCCCAATTTTTAACAATTTGTCCCATGTCCCACGGCTTTAAAAAAAAAGTTCTAAAAATTGGGACTGTTTTAAAATGCCGCGGAACGTGGGACAAATTGTTAAAAATTGGGTCTGTTCTGCCAAAAACGGGATGTCTGGTCACCTTAACCTAGAGTCTTTTAAAATGTCTGATTCTCAATCCCTGAATGCTTTTGCCATTTTGAGGTTCAGCCCATATGGTTTCCAGAGAACCTAGTAAGTTTATATTCCTTTAATACTTTTGGCTTTGGTGCAGTCCTTCTTCAGTGACTCTTAACATTTGGTGCCGAAAAAACAGGATGATTCTGGGAGGAAGGGAGCCATTATTCTAGCTTTGGTCCACAAATTTACTATTCTGAGAGCAATAGGCAGTAGCAGCTCATCCTGGCTTATCTTTAAATTCCTTCTTGAGTCTGTAGTAGGCCTCACTCCATTATGAGCCCTCCTGAGTCGGTCAAGGAGGACACTGCATCTGGAGTCTCTTCTTCTCCCACACCAGCAAATCTTATCTAAGTGAGTGAAATTCCACAATTTCCCTCGTAGCAAGTCTTTTATTCACTTACTCTCACCGACTTGTCCTAGCACTAAACTAGAAGATTCCTTAGCCAGTCAGCCTCAGGTTCTTCTGGACTTGGGATACCCAGTCTGGAGGGTCATCTGTTGTTTCTTATAGTGACTTATTTAGCAATGGGATATCTGCCCTAAACATTCACCTTTGGACTTGTGGTCTGTTACTCACCCTTCCCCTTTTAGCCATGCTTATTCTCCTTATCATGAGGAACACTCCCTTCACACCCCTAAAAGGATCTCTCTTGGCTGTCTCCTTAGAATATCTCAACTGCTTTAGACTCAGGCTCAAGCCCTTCACTTTCTTTTGTAACACTGTTTGGCTAACTATATAAACTAGATAATGAATCTCAATGGCCTGAAAACAGCAATTTAATTTTAATACAGTGGAATCTATCCTAGCTAATAAAGAGATAATATGCTAATTGACAACCCCACCCTTAAATATGGCCCAGTCCCCTCAGCCCTGCCAGGACAGCAGGTGTGTGGCAAGGCCTCCAGAGTCTCCCAGTTCCCTCAGCCCCCCAGTCACCCAGGGCCACCCAAGGCACAGGTAACCAGGGCCACCTGAGGCTTGCCCTACTAATAGTGGCAGCAACAGAGATGTGATGGGGCATTGCCTTCCCCTGATCACTGGATGACTTCCTTCCCCTAAGGGCTCCTGACTGTGAGAGGAGGCAGGCCAGGCTGAGGGAAACCCCTCCAGTGTATGAATTTTCATGCACTGGGAAACTAGTATATATATAGAGAGAGAGACTGTGTTTGTAACATCCAAAATGACCAAAGGCTCCATCAAACACCAGGCTGTGCTCACAGCATGCTAAGTGGGCTGAACTGCTGACCTCTTGACAAGAGAGAGGCAAAGACTTGCAGTGGAAACTTGCATGAGACTGTCTCATGGCACCTGCATCCTTCCTTGACAGACCATTGCAACTCAAAACCAACAAGGACTGCCTCCAGGCTGCAGCCCCAGGCCCCTCAACCCCATCCCAGGCCTTAGAGTGCCCCACTTCAGCCCCAGCCCATGCATCTTTCTTCCCTCCCATCGGCAGCACAGCTCTTGACTACTTGCTTGCTGTGCAGAATCAACTACGTCAGGTAGTGAGCCATGATGATCAGAACAGTCATGTCTGGGATGGAATGACCAGGTTTTGGCAATTCACAAGGACAACAAGGCCCACAGGGCACAGGCAGTGAGGGCAGCTAGCCAAGCCAAATCTGGCTTCAGTGTGGCCAGTGGGAGCCTGAGGACCCTCACCCCCCACAGGTCCTGAAACAGAAGGTGGTTCAGCAATGAGCAGTGACTCCATGCCCAGTGACTGAGCTGCTACGACCCTGCCCTCATGCTTCAGGTAAGGAGATGAGGCTTGCAGCCACCTCTGCCCTAAGCCACACCGCCTGCTGGGCTGGCAGGGTCCAGGGTGGGCAAGTTTCTCCCACCCCCTGGTGGTGGAACAGGGAAAAGGGCGGTGGGTGCAGGGAGACCTCAGCAGGATCTTCCCACCATGGGGAAGGGGCCCAGCCTGGGCCCTGTGGGGAGGTTAGGAAGTCTGGCCAAGCAGGCACCGGTTCACACCAACTCTTACTCTGCCATCTTCCTCCAGCTCTCCAAGCTAGCCCACCTTCCCCATCTGCCAGGGGGAATGGGCTCTGGGCGACCTCCCTGAGCACAGATTATAGACCCAGAGAGCTCAAGGAAGAGTGCCCGGCAGGGCCTGGACGGAACCGGTGTAGAACTACCAGGGCAGAGCTGCTTCAGTGTCTCAGTGAAGTTTGTAACAGATCCAAGGAGGAGAGCACGAGGGGAGACACTGTGAGGCATGAGTTCCCAGCACTTAAGCAACTTGAAAACAGCCCCGCTTGGAATGTGAGGCGGCTGTATGTTCAACTGAAAAGTGAGGGGGCTGAACACCACCATTGCTGGGCTCTGGTCAGTCCTTGAAAAGGAAAAAATGGAGGGAGGGGCCCAGAAGAAGGGAGGACAATTGAAGGAAACCATGTCTAAACTTTCTCCAGCCCTCTCTCCCTTTCCGCTGCCTACAAAAGCCCCAGGCCTGTCCACAATTCTGCTCCACCTTTTAGTTCCCTATTCTTCAATCACAGAAGAAAGAAATAAGGAAGGAGTTCGTGCTGCCTTCAGGAAGTACCTGATTGCCGGTTGCCTCCCGCAGAGGGAGGCCAACTGTGGCTTAGGGGAACGGGCCTAAACCATCAGTAGGACATACTATGAGGGCTCCTCGACTGTGAGATGGGGCAGGCCAGGCTCCCTTCCCCTGCCTCAGTGCATGAATTTTTGTGTACTGATTACTAGTCCTATATAATAAAACTCTAATATGCAAATCAACTAAACGCAGAACCACTACTGGTTGTTATGCACTGACCACCAGGAGGCAAATACTGACCACAGGAGC